TCTCTTCCTCTCTTTATGTAACCTCTCAGGCTGAATCATCACTTTGTTGAAATGTACATCTTAAATACTCAGACTTCTGTTGCGCAATCCTGCTTCTCAGTTTCTCTCAAGGCCAAGAAACATTTCTCTGAAGGTGTGAACATGTAAGCATTGATCATCTGTGAATCATCACCCTGAAGGCTCCGGTGGAATCGTGCAAGACTAAATAAGACAATGAGCAGGATGATTGACGGCTTCTCGCAGTGTCTCTGATGTATTTTTACATGTAGCAGGCAGATTAGTTCTGAGGACACGACTCAAACTGAGCTGCTCTGGAAATGCAAATGTTAAGTGTGACTGTAGTTTGCAGCCCAGTTCATCTAGGACTCTGACTCTTCAAGATTTACATCCAATGCCAACATTCAGTAGTGTGACCCTTTTTCAGACCATCACGAACCTGCAATATTTGTCTTTTTACTAACCGTAAAACTGTAGGTCTTTCTGTCGTGTTTTTTTGTTCTACATGTTTTTTCTCTGTAGCCTGAAAGTTGGCATGACGTGTACATGAGTGAGTAAGTGAATGAGAAAATGTTATTCTTTAAACAGCATTTTAACCAACTGCCAATCCCGGCCCTCCCTTGGATTTTATGAGAGTGAGCCTGTGACATTATTATTGAGTCTCTCTACCTTAATGGAAGCCCAGGCTACAGATGATTATAATCATTTAAAACCATTCCTACTGTTAGTTTGTGGCAGCAGGGAGTGAGAGAGGCAGCGAGGATGTGACATTTAAACAAATTGCTCTGTGTGAGGCTGTGTAGTCAAACATGGCTCTGTAGTTTAAAATGTTATGATCAGAGCTGATGTTTTGTTTAAATCAACAATGATTCACCTCCTCTATGGTAGAAAACTGTGTCTGTGCTGCTCTGTTATTTATGTGTAGAGAAACTCGAAGGCGGGTTCACCTCAGGACGAACAATCGATGATGTGAAGCAGCTGTTGAACTTTTCACAGCTGCTGCGACAACACCGATGAAGCTGTTTCCTCAACTGCAACGAGAGTGAAGGTTTAACCCGACTGTTTCGTGTTTCCTCCAGCGCCTCGAACAAAGTTAACATGTACGTCGTAGTCAGAGCTCAGAGGTACATGATCAGCTTTTAAACTGAAAAAGGCAACATCCACAAGCTGCATGATTTTGACCAGTTTATCATTTTAGAGCTCTAGAACGACCGAATCTCTGATACCAAGAACTAAAAATCTAGTAATTCAGACAAAACATAGTGAACTCAACAACCTTACATACAAAATCAAAGGACGTCACATTGAATCATGTTTGAAATGTAAAACTTTACATGATAAAATTAACTCTTTTACAATTACAGGACTCCACAATTGAAGACAAGATTTCTAGAACCCAGAAACTGAAATGATTCTAAAACCTCAGACACAGAACACTAGAACTCCAAGGCCTCAGACAATTAAACTTTCAAACTCTGTCCCACCTGTGGAACACTCTGGTCTCGGTAGCACTACTACTCCAAGTCTCCAGATTCTGGCTGTCCAATGCATATTCCCAGTCAAATATTTCTAGAAAGGCCAACATGGCTGAATCTAGACAGAGAATTCTAGAACGCTGGACATGGAACTCTAGAACTCCACAGCCTCAAATGGGTCTAGAACCTCAGACACAGAACTCTATTATTCTAGAACTCCACAGCCTGAAACCAAGAATTCTAGAACCTCAGATAATTAACTCTATAATTCTAGAACACCAAAGATACAGTCAAAGATTCTTGGAAATTCGGTGGTAGAACTTTGCAATTCTAGAACTTCATAGCCTCAAATACAAAGCTCTGGAACCTCGGACACAGAACTCTATTATTCTACAACTTCGCAGCATCAAACAAAAGAATTCTAGATCCCTGGACGCAGAACTTGACAATTGTACAACTTGAAAGCCCCAACTAATGATCTCTAGAGAGTCAGCCCCTGTACGACTCTAGAACACCACAATCAACAACAGAGAACGTTAGAACCTCAGACATGGAACTTCATCTTGAAACTTGAACTTGAACTTGAACTTGAAAAAAATAGAGATGTGCAAGTGCAGTGCTGACAATTTAATGACAATGTGTCATTTTGTTTTGTGAATATGTGATTTTATTTTACACAAGCAGACAATACAGAAGTCAAGTTAACACTACACCCACTAACAGCAGGGAAACATCAACCTTTGTAAGGTACTGCTGCGAGAACCTCACACCACGAAACATAATTTAAATGTCATCAGATACTAAATTTGTTAGGAAGATGGGAAATCTCGAAAAAATCGAAACCTCTTGAAACCACAGTTTTGGTGCTTTATACTAACGTTCATTGCCAAGATGCACTGACACAAATGCTTGCAGAATTTGAGCATTTCTTAGGATTCTTCTTCTATCACCTCAAGTGTTTGCGGGACGCCTGTCCCCTCAGTGACGGACTGAGATGTGATTCGTTTTGAGCACAAATAGAGGCAGTAAATGCTTTTGAGGCATGAAAACCACTGGCAGCCACGATGGAGATTCCATGTCCTCGTCTGACACAATGAAACAGCTCGAGTAGTCTAAAAGCATATGCTAGGCCTGCAGATAGAAGGAGACAGAGAATGACAAAGGGACATATGACATATGAAGAGGGAAATAAATAAAGAATAAACACCACAACACTGCAGTAGAAAGAGAAGAGAAACAGAGGATGCACAGGAGAGAATGAAGGGAGGCTAAATGAAGGAGTCAGAGAGACACTGAAATCCACAATTTACATTAAAGGCTCCCCTGATTGACATATGCAGACGTTCCAAATCAGTTTAAAGCTGAGAGGAGCGGAGAAGAAAAAAGAGGAAGAGATAATCTGATGAATAATTCATGTGAAAACACAGAGGTCAAAGGAGCAGAGAGCTGGAGGACATTTGTTTTGTTTGGTTAGAAATAACGGCAGCAGTAATGCAGTGCTGGGTCACACGGATCAGAAAGGAAACCAGAAATAATCAACTCAACAATAAACCCCAGGCTGTCAAACTGATGCTCACTGACACATGCATTTTAATCAACTAATTATCCCAGTGAATTACAATATGAAGAGGAGGGAGGCGGACGAAGATCGAGCTGGTGAACCTGCTGATTGTTACTGACTTCCAAACCTCAAAGCAAATCCATCTCTCTTTTTTTTTTTATTGTTGTTTACATAACTTTGACTCGTGGTAAAACGCGTGCAATCATTAAAACAAACACCAGATTTTCCTCCTGGGGATCAATAGTGTTTTCCTGTGTTATATAGTGTCTCAGCCTGGAAAGAAAACAAAGATTCCCACACATTTGTTCTCACTTTATCGGTCATCAAACATCAGGTTTCATCTATCACCAGGACCTAATCTAAATAACACCCTGTTGATAGGGACTACTTCTCCTTCCGCCTGCCACAGTCATATGTGAACCACGGCTCTATAAAAGCGTGAAGAGAGCATACAGAGTTTTGACATTGATGATGGCTGACTGTAAATACAGTCTTGAGTGGAGCTTTTTCAGCTCGCTGTGTGTGATGTGTGTGTGATGTGTGTGTGATGTGTGTGTGATGTGTGTGGGAGGACTGCGAGGCGCTGTGGCAACACCACAACCCTCGTTGAGCATTTGAGATTTAATCACAGCAAAGAATATGATGAGGGCCGAAGAAGAGGAGGAGTCCTTCTCCAGGTGCAGAGAGCGAGTGCAGCTGCCGGGCGACGTTAATCACAGACACTGACAGTGATTCACATCTGTCTGTGCTAAACATCCATTTTAATTGATTTACTCTGCAGGAAACAAACCTGATCTTCCTATATGTAACAGCCAGTGATGTTCACTGACCCAGTCTCAATTGTTTTGATTCACAGATTATTTCAAAATTCAGTTATTAAGGCTTTTTTTTTAAATAATTTAATAAAATATATATAATATAAAATATTAATAATATAAGTAACATCCTACATAAAACATCAAGCCAATGTAACCTGTTGATTCCTCTCCTCTAAGTGTGTTTCGTACGAAGTATTGGTATCATTTTGGTATTGTATTATTATTGTATTGATATCATATTATTATTGTATTGTTATCGTATTGTCGTATTGACACCAGCGTGGGTTTTACTCAGTATCAGATTTCTAGTGAGCGTTAAAAAAAACACTTGAATGAGCTCACACACGCACGCACGCACGCACGCACACACACACACACACACACACACACACACATAAAACAAAGTTTTATTTGTTTTATTTTGCCTTTTTTTTTTTTTAACTCCATAAATTATTGGAAGAAACTTTGCAGGTGAAGATGTTTTTATTTCACAAGAGAAAAATGCTTTTGTCACAAAGCTTAAAAGAATGATATTAAAGTTGTACGTGAAAAAAAAGTCAGGTTTTTGGATGATGATGATGATGATGATGATGATGACATGGATGATCCGGCTAACGCCATCCTGCGACCACCCAGAAGCTCCGGGCCGAGGCCAAACTACGACAGTTAAAGACGACACTGAAAATAACAAAGCAGCGTGTTAACCAAATGAAATCCTGGCAGGCTCGTCGTACTCTACCATTACAGCTGTTTTTGCCCGTCAGTGTGAATGAAAAAAACAACAGGCCTTCGGGGCTCTGATGTCAGGAACGCGGCGGTTGGCGGTCGGCGGTCGGCGGTCACCACGTGTTCTTTTGTACGTGTCAATACTCGCAGTCCCTGTGAAGAGGCAAGCTGCAAACACAGTCTTCAAAAAAAAATCAGAGCAGATAAAAGAGGAGAGGTCGTCGTGGGCAACAGACAGCTCCCGGGAGCCATGGCAACAAGAGACTGGTACAATAGGTTGCTCCGGCGCAGAGGGAGGAGAGGAGGAATGAAGAGAACGAGAGAGCGAGGGGAGGCAGAGATGGAGACAGAAGCAGCTGTTGCTCGTTTGTTGCTCGTCCTCTACCTTCTCACTGTTTTTTTTTGTTTTTTTTCCCTCTCCTCCTCCGCTGCCTCGACTCAATTAACTCTGATATGACACCACGATACCTCACTGACTCAACAACACCGCTTTGAAACCGTGTGTAATTTCCTCTTTTAGCTGAGAGCCACAATCGCAGCAAGAGTAAGTGGCTCCCCTTTCGCCCACAGAGCCGCACGGGGGAATTGAACTTGTGACGCCTTTGACGCCACTTTCACCCTCTTTCAGCTCCTCTGGGGAATTAAATCTCTACTTCTACCGGCGCTAGCGTGTTAACACTGAGCATGAAAGGAGGCGCACAGACAGGAAGTCTGTCTTTAAAGATCTCCCGCTTAAAGGCTCGTCAACCTATTGGTTGGTTAGTCGGCATCTGGGCCTAGACAGCGGTGCTCCGACCCAGCAGGGGGAAGGCTGTTGGCAGGCCACAGCTGGGCTCCAGTCCCCTCAGTCCATGCACCCCCTGAAGCCCTGGTAACCCTCCATGGAATCCCTGTATCTCCCCTTGAAGTCCTTGTATTCCCCCTTGGAGTCCCTGTATTCCACCCCTGAGCCCAAGTCCGTCATGGTGAGTCCTGGCCTCTCGCCGCGGCATGGTAGCCATCGCAGCGGCAGCCTGCAGGGAGCGGCCCCCCGGCGGGGTGAAGTTGTTGTGGTGCAGGTCCATGTTGGACAGGAGGTGACCCAGGGAGTCCCAGCGCTGGGACGAGGGCAGGCGTATCAGGGAGGAGTAACCCCGATCGGGGAACACCGTCGCCGCAGGAAGCTTGCTGGTCTCGGACGTGAACACCGGAGCAGGGTCCTGGTGTTCCCTGAGGGGCGGCGGCGCTGCTCGGAGCGGGGCAGGCTTCAGGTAGGTGCCCCCCCGTGGGTCGGCCAACACCTCGCTGTAGGGCGGAGGAGGATCCTCCATCAGGACGGCCTCCTCATAGCAGGGCGGCTTCCCAAATACATCTGCATCTGGGAATAAAAGAGGAGACTGGGAGTTAAGATGAATCACAACATGATTTAACCCCGGACACTTAATTTTTATTAAATTAGATTATGCTTTAATTATGAAGGTTTAAAATTTATAAAACTTTCCCAGAAACCAGAGAAAATATTCTAGAGTCCGTCGGGAGAACCGAGACATTTCCTGGTGGCCTGAGGGTCGTTTTGACACCAGCCGTGAACAGTTGACGTAATCAGCGCTAACATCACAACCAGGAAGGAGAAAAGACAAAAAAACAAAACAAAAGGATGCACACCCTCGAGTCGACATCTTGAATACTCGCAAAAACTATCACAGCACATGAGGTCTGAACTCTCTCTTCCTCTCTCACACATTTTATTTTCTCGGCTCTTATCGTCGTCATTCCACAAAACACACATTTATCACACATTAACTTCTCACTTCAATCTTCACTGAAGTCAGATCAGCCCAAATCACTCTGAACGGCTTAATGCTCCTGTGCGGTGAATAAATAATAAACTAATAAACAAGTAAACAGGAGCGTTTTACAGTTGTGAGAATTGAGTAATGCAACAGTCATGATTCACAGCGATGAGTTACTTCTCCATTAACTGCTCACTCCAGAGTCAACTACAGAGGCTCTATTGTGTTCAACGGGCTTCAGTGAATGAGTGGATGGGTGTTGATGGATGCTGGTCCGGTCTGGATGTGTAAGACAGCACAGCTACACAATCTGCCAATAAAGTTAAACCCAAGGACACACACATCCCGAGAAATGTGAGTGAGAATTTAGCTCCGAAAAATGACAAATTCTTTTGCGTATTATTACCAGTTCATATTGAATGAGCGATCTGAAGAGTTTCTGGTTCCTTGTAAGAACTGATTGATTGAATTTACAGAATCACTGCACAGCACCAGTCATAATCACCAAGGATTAAAGTGGCAATCTGGGAGACTTTCATTTAAATTAATGTCTGTTACATCACTATCTGTCACTGAATGGTGACTGAGCCTGTGGCCCACTGATAACAGTACTGCAATATTCATGTATCCGCAGTGTTATGAACTGTCTGCGGTGACGTTCCCCGAAAGAAAAACACAGTATTACGTTACTCTGCTAATAGAAACATATATATATATATAAATATATAATAATTCACCTTTATTGTGGCTGATACACACAGAAAACAAAGAGCTGAGTCGTTCAGTTTGAGTTTCGTTATAGAATTGCGGCATTTTAACTATTTAAATTTGACATGTTCTTTAAAAAGCAGCTGATATGTTGTTGTTGTGCTGCAGAGAAAACAAAAGCACAAAAATAAAAATATGTACCTTTCGAAGCGCTGCAACATTTATGAAACACCTTTGCCCTGACAGAGAGAGAGCCTGTGGGCATAATGCAAGACTGTGGAGTCTATATTTCAATGTATTGTCAGTATAAAGGAGAGGATTTTTGGCCTGATAAAACCCCCAAGGGCGAGTTTTTTGGAACAACTGAAGGCAGTTTCTATTTCCAGGCTGATGAATCTGCCCAGATCCTGATCAATATCTGTCGAAATGTTGCACAACCTCCCCTCCTGCTTCCACCGGACCTGAAATATTAACAGTAACTCGTCTTGCCGGCTGAAATGCATCTTATCCATCTCCCAGAAAAGTTTTAAAAGTACAGTGTTACATGCGTCGTCACATTTTCTCTGCACAAATAGTAGAAGTGGCTTCAGAGATGTTCCAGATAATCTTGCCTAGTTTCCCTGCAGGTTTTTCCCGACTAGTTGATTAATTTGCTGATTATTTCCTCAATTAATCGATCAATCCCTTGATCTATGAAGGGTCGGAAAATAGTTAATTTCCTAGGAACAATGTTGACATACTCAGTCAACCCCAAACATTATCATTTTTAATGTCATAGAAGTCAACAAGATGCATCCGATATTCACATCTGAGGATCTGGAACCAGCAAATTTATGGCCTTGTCGTATAAAATATGACTTAAATGATTGATAATCAAAATGATTGATTGTTTATGACAGTAAAACACAACAGATCCTTGTACCATTCCTCAGCTCGAACCTGTTTGACGGCTGTAAAAACAAACATCACTGTTGGAAATCAACAGATGTTTGTTGAACTGTTGCCATGGAGCCGGATGTATTTGTGGATGCAAACGTGTGTCTTTGCGTGTGTTTCTATACCTGGCTACTCTCCATCACACCTCCGTCACGCCTCACACAGAGATACCTACAGGATCAGACTCTTACTACGTCGCCCGACGGCTTCTGTTGCTCCGGGCGACACTACCAGCTTTTCGAGCGGCTTAAAATACGCGTCGGAGACAATGTCGGCAGCAGAAACACGTGGGACTGATGTTTCCGCCGAGAGGATCAGCACGGGTTCGTTTGAAGCAGCGGCCAATTCTGAGGGGATGAAGTATGTAACCGTATGTAGTGGGATCTGTGACAGCTACTGTACACAGCGCAGTGATCATATTAGACACGGTGCATTACGGGGTCAAACAGAAATAGCGGAGTGTGTGGTAGAACGTAGAGTAAATACAACCATCGCTCTACTCAGGTTTCATGTCAGTGTATCAGTGGTGATCAAACGGTATCTCTACTTCCAGATAGAACAAAACTGATTTCCTCTCATCTCTAATCTTTACAGTATCTTTTATAATCAGATCTCACATTTCCTATCACCTTTTTTCCTCATCTCGTCTCTCACTTTACCTCCTCATCTAGTCATCTCATGTCATCTATAATCTGTCATCTCGCTCATCTCTCATGTCTATCATGTCAGCACATTTCTTTTCTTTTTTTTGATCTCACATTTCATTTTACCTCCTCTCTGATCTCACCTCGTTTCTCAACAAATCTTTCTTTCCTCTACAGTTTCTTCTTTTCATATCTCTATTCTGATCTCATCTCTTTTATTTCGCAATATCCCCCTTTTTTCCTCATGTCTCATCTCCTCTCTCATTTTTCCACATCTCTCTTTCCTCTGGTCACAACTCATTTTTATCTTGCAAGTCCTCTCCGATACCTTAATCTCATCTCTCATATGATCCCTCTCCTCTTTCTTCCCACAGATATTTCTTTTCTCCTCTGTATCCCCTCCTCCTCTTCTCTCATCTTTCTCATCAAATCACATCTCCTATTACTGTCGCCTCATCTCATTCATCTCGTCTCCACATTTCTTTTCACCACGTCTCATAACATTTAATCTTTCTAATCTCATCTCTACTCTCAAGTCATCATTTTAGCATCTCACATTCCCCCTTTCATCTCATCTCATCCATCTTCTCATAACTCATGTAATCCTTTCTCTCATCTCTTCCCTTTAATTTTGTCTGTCTTTACATCACATTTCACATCTTTTTTTAACTAACCTCTCTCCTCCTCTTTCTTCTTTCAGCATTTCTTGTTTTCCTGATCTCTAATCTCTCCTTATCTTGCATCTCATCTCCACACATCATCTTGTTTTGCATTTCTCTTCTCATCCCTTTTCTCTTCTCCTCCCACGTCTCATTGGCCTTGATTCATTTCTCACCACTCTTTGCATCTCATCTGATATCTTCCTTAATCTCGTCACTTGTCACGTCTCATCATCTCATCTTATCTCATTTATTATATCACCCTCCTTCTTCTCTCTCAGTAGTCTGACCTCTCTTTTTCTCACATCTCAATCTCCTATTATCTCAGTTTCCATGTATTCGCACTAAGGGCAACATGATTAACAAGTCGCATCACATAAATCATTTCCCTTTGAGCCAGCCAGAGCATCTCAGCCGATGTGTCAGTTCATGTTAATGCCTACTGTGGAGATAGCCAGATAAATACACAGCGCTACTCATTTCAAGTTAGAAAGGGCAAACAGTGGAAGCAAACATCATTTTCCGGTTCAAAAAACTCTACGGCTGCAGAGGAGGAATCATCACCCACCACCGGTCTGAGCCGAGCGGCTTATCGGAGCTGCTCCCAGTGTGAACATCCTGTGTGGGTCAGAATATTCAATACAAAAGCCTGTCATGCTGGCTGTGTGGGATGACAGCTGAGTGATGCATGAAATATGTGTTTCTGAAGACTAACTCTAATTACTCTAAAAAATCTTAAGATGGAAGTTGATTTTTCTTTGCTGTCAGGAAGCAGCACTGGACTGAATCACATGCCTGACTTCAGACGGGCTAACGTTGTCACTGAAGCTGTCAACACTGTTGTGTGCCGCTAACTAATTAAAAGTGGGTATCTAAACAATAAGTTTAAATTTAATAAAAACACGGACTTTGGTGTTTAAAGTTCTGACTTTCAGCTTTAATTTGAGGGTGTTTGAAGATCCCAGTCAGATGAACAGTGCAGTAGCGTAGCCACTTCTACCCATGCTAGCAGCAGGGTTGTAAGGCTAGAGCTGATAATGTCACTTACTCCGACGCTTCTGGTCAATACTCAAATATCTTGTCATTAAATTCAGCTCATGCATTCATGTTCTGCACAGAATCAACTGTAACAATTAGAAAAACTGAATGCAAAGCAGTTAGCATGTTGATATTGTCATTGTGTATTAGCGGTTAGCTCAAAGCAGCTAGGTACAGCCTCACAGAGTTGTTCCCTTGTTCTGTCAGTCACATAGTGATGCTTTTCTCACTCATCTTTTAGCTCCGGTTTGGTCCTCAACACTTTAGCTGGCTAGGCGCTAACTTTTTTCTGCCATTTGTTGCTAGGCAGGTAACGTACAGTAGAGCTGTCTCGCTCTCCCCCGTGGCGAACATGACTCAACCAGCTCCTCTCCCTCTCTCTCTCAGTCCTCCGCTGTGCTCAGCTGGTCAGCACCTGCCTCTCTTTTAGCTCTGCCGCTGCCTGGATACTAAACCTCTTCATCAGTCTGCTTTGTGACCGGGGCTCCAGCAACCTTTTGTTTTATCCTTATACTGTCTGTCTCTGCTCGTTAAACATCTCTGACAGCGACTGGTGCTCTTTTTACTCGCTCCGGCTTTTCCTTTCCCTCTTTCCTACCGCTGTCCACCACTGTACAGATGTTTGAAGGTTTTAATTCTGTTTTCTCTTCACTCCTGTGTCCTCTCCACATTTTATGGTTGATATAACGACATGAACATCAGTAAATCCTCCTGCAGTCCAGGACAGAAACACAAACCAGAGACAGACAGATTCTTAAACTTCCTAAAGTTTGTATTTGATGCAAATGGCAAATCTGCCTCTAAATGTTAATCCTCTGATGTCACTCGGAGCTTGTAGGATTTTACTGAGTCCTTCATGTGTTGTATATGAAATGCCTGTGCTTTTTAATCTATGCTAATGCTGCTGTCAATGATTTTCACTGCAGCTGCACTTTCTGTTTTTCTTTTTTCTCCATTTCAGACGACGTCTTTACATTTCCAGAGGCTTGCGGAGGAATTTATTTAAAGAGCTTTCTAGGTTGAAGCTTGAATTCCTGAGAAGGAGAGTTGTTGCCTCGTGTTTACCTCTGCTAGCAGGGTAAACACAATGTCCCAAAATCTCATGAATTCATTTCCATAAAAATTGTTGTACGCGTCGGCCTGAGGCTGTAGAGTTTAATTTAATCAGAAAAAGTCCCTCTCTCATTCTGCAGGTTCAGATGTGACTTGAGCAAGGCGCTTAACTGTAAAGTGCTCGAGCGAAGCAGCTGAATGACCTGCAGCTGTATGTGTGGTTAACAGCTGATAGTAGTGAATGAGGATGGGCGTTGATGATAAAGAGCATTGAAACCTGATGAATCTGCTTCCACGTCCCTGAATCATCACGTATATTAAGCTGAATGATTCGAAGGTGCAGAGTTTCGCCAGCTGGAAAAGCAACAGAACCAAATCTCAAGCCAAGTGTGACAACAATCGACTGTTCAAGATGTTTTAGCTGCTCCTGTGGTTGCGCAGACACACTGGAATGCGTGACATGTGCGTGAGGTTTTTAAAGGCCCTTGATTTTTAACAGTTGTACCGTGAAACCAGAACACAGAATACAGATCGCATCTTAATACCAGGTGTAAACGACGTCTTAGTTCTGCTCCACTGAATATCTTGATGAAAGACCAAATAAATCATTGAGATCCAAAATATGGAGCAAACCAGACCCGTCATCTCAAGCTGCGAGCGGTGAACGGTTCAATTTAAAGTTAATGGTCCCCCTCACAGTTTAACTGGAATCATTGTCAGAGGCCTGAAGACATAAAACTACACAGCATTTCACGAGTGAGATTAAAAATTGGAGAAAGGTCTGAGAAATGACCATAACGTTTTTTCTCTTCCTTTCCTCTCGATTAATCGTCTCTGATTGATCCCCTTTTGGGGTCCTGATCCGCAGGTCCAGACCACCTGAAGTAAAAATACAGAACAGAAGACTGTGAATTTTATCCCCCATCAATTACAGTGTGGTTACGTTGGGAAGGAAACGCTTCGCAGCCAGTGTGGACAGGTATTGATTACAGTGATCAGTGACTCCTTCAACATACATATGAGAAAAAGTTTAAACCTGTCCTTTAAAATGGCGAGACCTCGGTACAAAGCCTCTCTCTCTCTCTACCTGTCTGTTTTTCCCAATCTCACCCAGCTGCCTCCACACCTCTGAATGTCTCTGTATTCTCGTCTTTATATATATATATATATATATATACACACACACATACATGGCCACGTTGCTCGCTCCTTCACCGCTCGGCCTCCACAGTCACCACCCTCGCCTCAGCAGCAGCTGTCACCATGACGCCCCGCGGGGGGAACGCTGCCCGGCAGGCAGGAAGGTGGAGGCTGGGAACCGAAGAGTCTAAAATAATCTGACACCACGGTGAATAATATAATCCTCCTCCTGTTCCCTGCTCTCTGGCCGCATCTCAATTTCTCATACGAACATTTTGAATTAATTAGTTATCCTGTATTTTTAATTGAAAATAAAGAAACTTGAGTTCAAAGTCATCCGTCTTATGAATGAAATGCGCATTTGGCTCGTAAATAAAAAAAACAAACAAGATGTGACAGGTTGGGTGTTTGTCAGTGATTTCACACTCAGCAGTGGAGAAGGGATTAACATGCTCAACAGACAGATGGACGGAGGGAAACTCTCCAATCTTGAAGTCAAAGGGCAGCTCGATCTGCTGATGACCAGTTCTGAACAAATAAAACCCGTTCTGGGTCGTTCATACATTCACCTGCGGGGTCACTGAAAACCACATCTGAGCCCACAGTGATTAGACTTCGTAATCTCCACTCGTACATCCTGCTACTGCTTCCAGGAAAAAAGCCACAGCCTCAAACTGTAGTAAACAACAACTAAAACATATTTTTCCCTCAGGGGTGGTAGGCGACAGGGGGCCGCACTTTGTGACGCAACGTTAAGGGCGGGAGCGGCGAAAACCCTCCGTAGACCCGACCGTCTCATTCCAGTTCGGCCTTCATGGTCCACAACGGCCACGAAGGGCCACACCTACATGGACCACGTGCTACGAAGGAAGTGACCCGATTGGCCGAACTGACCCTCTCCCTCAACCTCAGATCATCGACCACGAGACTCTCCATCGTCAGCTTCCCTCCCCAACAGATTAAAAACAGCATGAAACTACATTTCATGAACAAGCAACAACATGAACGACAAAATTAAAACAAACTATTAAAATTCACCAAATTTTCAGAAACCTTGAAAAACTTCTCTCGTCTCATCTTGTGACTTGAAGGAAGGAAAATCACCAAACTGATGAACTGTATACAACAAGAAAAGCAGCAACAGAAACTGTAAGAATCCCGTCACGTTACCTGGCATGCTGACCCAGGTTGCTTGCGGCATGGGATGAGGAACCAGCACAGGAAGTGGCGGCGACAGGGTGCGAGGAGGGCAGAACTGCGGCGGCTCCCTGGGCAGCTGCGGAGGTGGTGGCGGCGGCGGCGGAGGAGGAGGAGGCGGGTATCCTGCTGGTTGACAGCCGAGCGGCTCCATCTCTACCGTCCGCAGACACTGCTCCCTGAGCCGCTCCTCGCGGCGGCGCTTCAGCCGGCGCTGCAGGAAGCTGCAGAAGCAGCAGAGCATGACGATGAACGCCCAGACCAACCAGAAGCCGGCGAAACAGGCCAGGAAGGTGTAGGTGCCCTGCGACATCACCATGGCAGTGAGGGGACGGGCAGCGAGTCCCCCTCCCCCCCGAGGTCGGTGATTTCAGGTGGGGTTACAGGTGAGCTCCTGCTGTCGCTGTGAGACTAATGGTTCGTCTCTCCAGGGTCAAAAAGCTAAACTCAGGCACATTTATTACATTCAGTGAAAATAATCCGAGGTGGGAACGAACAGCCGTCACTCCACTTGAATACTGATGAATTTAAATCAGCTGAAGCTGTGATTCTGAAATAATAACCGTGCTCGGTGACAGGTTTTTCTTTCAAGACGGCGGCTCTTAAACTCGACACTTCACAAATTTAAACAGACATTCAAATGTTTTTCTTGATGAAACGACTCGATGAAGAAGGTTTCTGAAGAAAAAAACGACGATGATATAATTAAAAACAGCTCACACTGACAGTTGGTGAGTTAAAGAAATCCAGTAATATTCAGTAGAAGCTGGAAACATGTCTGAATACTGAACATTGTGCAGTCACAGCCTCGGTGGTGTTTGTGAAGATCTGGAAGTCAATAAAAAAAGCAACATCTTCTATAAAACGTGCATTAAACTCATTAAATAATAATTAATTTCATGAAGGACGTGAATGCCAAAAGGTAATGAAGCGGTTAATTGCCTTGGAAACAGCAGCAGTGGCTCGTTAGTCTCTGTCCGCCTGGTTTACACATAAATGAATTTAACACTTTAAACAGAGATTGGATGTAAAAAAAGAAAAGAAGAAGAAGAAGAAAAAGATTTCTGTCCAAATGAGGAACTTAATTTGCAACAGATTCACCAAAATACATGACAGAAGTTAAAGGGAAATCTTTGTGGTTTTTCAAGTTGACATTAATTTAGTTTCAGCTTCATATTTCAAAGTTACTTAAAGGTCAAAAATCTGGTATTTAAATCTGCAGGAAATATAAAAAACTAACTTCCTTTCTGTTTTCAAAACCTCGTCCATTCGTCCTGATGTTTTATAAAATCAGCTCCGTTCTTCTCATTTAAATGGAAATGTCTCGACTCCTGGTAGAAACACACACTTTCACAGACTGACGGACACACACTGTTATTCCTCAGGACTACAGATGAACTCTGCACCTTCCCCCGGAGCTTCAGCGGCAGCAAACGTCCGTTTAAATTCTCCAGAAGGCTCCAACCGGACCTCCCCTCAATAATCCAGCTGCTCAGTTTCCTTTAAAGGCTGATAAAGGTACAGAGGCGGGAAACTTTTTCCTCTTTTCTGATGGAAAATAAAACTGTGCCGGCATCGTCACCTGGCGTTGGAGGCAGAACTTTGGTCCAGGAGAGAAGAGGAAATACAAATAATAATAAAAAAAGGAATAAGTTGGGAGTTTGGAGGAGCAAAGGATTGTGGGTCACATGAGCTGAGGCGTCGTCCAATCAGAAGCGCCAAAAACCCCAGAGTTGATGTGTGAGTCCTCGTCGGACCGGGTCCTCCACGTGAAGTCAAACAGCTGGTCCCTTTAGGGCCGCGGGGGGTCGGAGTCGGGGGTCCGTCTACGCCGCCAGGACGCCGAATTCCTCCCTCTCAGATCCTGGCGGGACTCCTCAGCCTCACGCTGCTCTACAAAGACACACGGGGAGGAGACGAGACCGTCGTCAGCGACTATCAGAGGACAGATTCAGACAAGATGTTGGACAGAGTGAGAACTGCGAGCAGTAAAAAAACAGCACAGAGGCGGAGTGGTTATAAATCTCAGCTGTTCAGGGCAGGATTATGACGCCGACCTCTGGGGCCGGGTATCAGTTTCCCACTTCAGAGACCGGCTCACAGAGGAAATATTCACAGTGATACAGGGAAAGACACAGAGAGAGTGGACACAGATAATAAAAAAAAATAACAGGATACATCACACTGTCTACTATATCACACCGAAATCCCCTCCTCAAATACACTGTGTATCCATGAAGAAGAAACATGAACCATTGTTTTATAATGTGACAACTCTCTGTTTCGAGGTTTGGCGAGGGGGAGGACTTTGGAAGAGGAAGCTTACAGTTATCTCCTCTGTCACAGTCCAATGTTTTAATGACCCATCATCCCTCTGTGGCCTTCGTCTCTCTGTAACAACATCACGCTGCTTCCACGTTTAGGAGTCATAACGCCCACGGCCCCCAGACAACTTCATCACTTTAATGTAAATGAAGGAGAAGAAGAAGAAGAAGAAGAAGAGAAGGGAGAGAAAGAAGGGAGGACAGTCTCATGGTTAATGTTAGGATCAGGAGAGAGAGGTAGAATATGTACACAGCCCGGAAAAGAGAAGAAGAAGAAGGATTAGAGAAAGAATACTTAGAGGAAGAAGAAGAAGAGTAATTACAGGAAGCAGACAAAGAATTAGAGAAGCAAGAAGAACTAGAAAAAGAAGATAAAGGAAGAAAGAAGATGATGGAGAAGAAAACGGTGATGATAAAGTTGGTGATGACGAAGTCAGCTCAGGCCGACTCTGAGAACTAGAAATAATAATGATGTTAACGATAAAGATAATTAAGAAAAATAAAAACATGGATTCAGACAAAGAGGAAGAAGTAGGAAAAGGAAGAAGAGGAAGAAGAAAATCTGCCTCAAAGAATTTATAGAAACTCACTCACTCAGGGGTCTACACCTACTTTTTCACAAGTAGCCCCTAAATTGAAAACTTACGGAGCGCATAAAGAACTTTAGGGTCACAATGAACATGTATCAAATAATGTGTTTTTCCTTAAAGGTCCATATAGTGTAAAGGTCTGTGTCCATGTGTAGTGTGATTATAGATCAGCTCTAGCTTCTATATTAATACTGTGAAAGTATCAAAGCCTCAGTCCACAGAGAAATGCACACAGCCTGTATTCAGAAACTGAGCCTTAAAACCAGCCGTCAGGACTTCTGGAACTTTGAGCCAATCAGAAGACAGGCTCAGAGCCTCCTCTCTTCTGATTGGCTCAGTTGTTGCTAGAGCCCCAGAGAGAAGCCTGAGGGAGGAGATGTAAAACTGCGAACTCACGGAGGCAGCGAGACCTGCTTCAATCACACTGCCTTAAAAAAATGTCGTGATCCCCAGAGGATGAACCCTCCTGACTTCTCATCTAGCGCCACCATCAGGTCGGAATTCATCCAGCATGCACAGCTGATGACATTTCCCATCAGCCTCAGCTTTGTGTTGCTAATTAGCAAATGTTAGCTTGCTAAGAGGGTGAACACTGTAAACACAACCTGCTACACATCAGATTGTTTATTTTAGCGTTTAGCAAAGCCGCTAGCATTGGCTGTAGGTGCTCTGTGTTTATCAGCTGTCATGGCGGTGCCCTTAAGCAAGGCATCCAGTGAGGTGTTGTTTTAAATGTGACAGTCATGTAAATCAACTCGCTTGCTGCTCCTTCCAGAACCACTTGGACCCACCTCTTGTTTGAAACTGCGGAGTTTAGATTTCAGTATAAATCCACCACCGATCTGCTCGTCTCTACATCACCTCTGGGAGCCATGCTTTCTTTCTTCTTTTTTCTTTTTTTTTCCACTAGTCATGTTTCTTCCATTTGTCAGCAAAGTACAGAGGGAATTATGTTGTTACCAAACGCTGAGGAGATTATCAGTGTTATGAATCCTTCCCTCCTCTCTGAACGGCTCTTGAGGGAATCCCCCCCCCCTCTTCACTTTGAAACACACTTCGCAGTCGTTACTCATCCCATCAGCTGCAGCATCTCATGCCGTCGCCGCTGAAGTTAAACTAAAAAACACGGCATTTTCAGCAACTCTGAAATAAGATATTCGTCCTCTGAGGGAGGTGATTCCTTCTTCTCCCCAGAATTGAACTCAAACTGTGGATGTTTTTCTTCAAATAAACCGAACTGATGAGCTACGAGGGACGTGTTTTTATTTCTAAATTGGACACTTGTGCTGCATTACGGTTACATTTACAGCAGGAATGGAGCTTCGGCGTTTGTATCATGTATTTTTTTTTTTTTTTTCATCCTCCACCTCCACATCACCTTTGGGAATCACACCGGTGTCTGTTGTAATTTGAAATTGTTCAGCGGCGGTGATTCATCAGCGGAGGGTCTTCATTAGGTCGCACAGCCACCGATATGGAAGAGAGCTTTTTGTTTACGTCCCACGCTTCCTGCAGCCCGATCCGGTCCTGAAAGACGTATATATACGCTCAGACCTCAACCTCCACACCCACTCGTGTACAACAACACACACACACACACATGTACAGTACATACTCGCACTATTTATATCCCTCTTTTATCTTTCGTCTTTTATCTCAAATGGAAGATCTGAATAAGAACTGGGGGCAAATTATAAAAGCAGGAGTAATAATAGTGGAGGGAGATACATGATTCAACATTTAAAGTGGTGCTTTTATGGTGCTTTTATCCACGGAGACGGCGGCAGTGTTGCGGGGAAAACAAGTTCTGATACTGAAATGAAAAGTTGAAGCTCATGTTTATCTGCAGAGCTCGAGCTCAAACCTCAAAACAGAAGAAAAGGAAACAGGTTGTTGGATAATTGAGTGTTTCCCGCTGAGGTCTGGTTAAAGGTGTCGTGTGGAGGTTTCTGGTAAACAAAAGTTGTTGTTGTTGTTGTTGGAATGCAGTGTGTGTGTGTGTGTGTGTGTGTGTGTGTTGCAGCCAGACAAACAACATGCACAAACATCTTTAAGTCCAGAAGTTGTGATACTGATGGTCAAAAACTCCCCAGTGAGCCTTAAAATCTGCACCACTTGACAGTGGAAACACAACACTGACTGGAACTTAAAGTCATGTTTGTGTTCACATGATGAATCTAAAGTCCAGTATTATCTCTCTTTTAGCTCTGATTTTGGTCTCCACCAGCGCCCGAGGCAAATTACTGACTCTTTAGCTGCTAAATACTTATTTTTGATTTCAATTCTTGGAAGGCGGTGTTGTTAATCGCATGGACGATAAAAGATTTCAAAAGAAAGGATCTAATTAGGACGCGTCAGTTGATTTTTGCACCCGAATTAATATTTTCTCAATCGATCTGTGAATTATTTTTTGACAAAAAACTATAATTTACGGCCAGAAAAAGTAAAAGAGCCTCACATTTAAGAATCTGGAACCATCAAATGCTTAAAAGTAACTTAAACAATTGATTGGATATCAGGCAACAAAACAATTTATGCATTTCCTTTTGTAGCATTAAAAATAGACTTGTACGGTAAATTTAAAACATTAGAAATAATAAAATGTGAAATGTGAAATCTGAAACGTG